TGCTATAAATATGGGTGTACACACCTCACTGTGGTATGTTCCAATTTTGTGGAAAAATACCAAGGGGAATAGTTGGGTCAAATAGGACCTGTAATCCTAGTAACATACTCATTTTAAAATCTAAGATTATGATTATTATAATCATTGTACCAGCATTCTCCTTTGATTATAAAAATTGTTTAATATCTTCTTTAATTTCATCTGTGAGCCACTGATTGTCCAGGAGGGTGTTACTTAGTATTTGTGGAATTTTTGCAGTTTCTTTTATCCATAATTTCCGGTTTCATTGCACTACGGTCAGATGGCATGCATGGGATGCTTTCAGTTCCTGTGCACTTACTTAAGCATGTCGTATGTGCTAATACGTGGTCTATTTCAGAGACTGTCCCCTGTGTAGACGAGAAGAATATATATTCTAATGTTTTGGGTGGAACACTCTGGAAAGGTCTACTAAGCTCATTTCTTCAGAAGTTTGGTTTAGTTCTGTTATACCTTTGCTGATTTTTTGACTAGTCGATCTATCTCCTTATGACTGTGTGCGTTAAAGTCATCCATTACAGTTGTGTTATTGTTCACTTGATTTTTTATTTCTGTTAACATTTGTCTTCTATAGTTGGGTGCTGCTACATTGGACTCATATGTATTTATGATTGTTAAATCTCTTCCTCTTGCAGTTTTCCCCTAACAAGTATGTAGTGACCTTTTTTTTTTTCTATCTCTTGATTATTCTTGGTTTGAAGTTGACATTGTCAGCAACCAGAATAGCTACCCTTGCTTTTCTCTGGGTTCCTGTCACATCGAGTATTGTTTTCTATCCTTTTACTTTCAGCCTATGAGTTTCTTTTTGGGTTAAATGTGTTTCTTGTTTATAGCCTGTTGTTGGACCTTGTTTCTTCATCCTCCCTGCCAGTCTGCTTCGTTTTTTCGGTGACTTGAGGCCCTCTACACCGATGGTTACAGCTAACAAACATTGGCACTTTCCTGCCGTAGCCTCCCTACTGTGGGGCGAGGGGGGCAGCAGCTCAGTAGGCCTCCCTGATGGCGGGCTGCGGCAGTGGCTCAGCAAGGTTCCTGGTGGGGTTGGTGTGTGGAGCAGGCTCACCAAGACCCCCGAAGCTGTCCATGGCTCAGCCTGGCTCCCATGATGCTGGGGGGTCGCAGGTCAGTGAGGATCCTGCAAAGGCGGCTGGGCAGGCCGCAGCCCAGCAAGGTTCCTGCACTAGTCAATATCCATTGCTTTAGAATAGCAATTTTAAAGACCATGTCATCAGTCCTACTTTGGCCACCCAGTATTTTGAAAATTATAGACATTGTCTAGTTTTCAGCGAAGGGACATGGAAAACAGAGAAACCAACTACTCTGACCACTCCCATCAAAGGTGTGCAGCAACTTGAGGGACACCAGAGGGTACTCGTGGTGGACAGCAAACCCAAGGTTGCTGAGGGCAGACTCGTCATCTTGCTGGGGAAAATGGTGACTGCAGGTTGGCAGCACATGGCTGGGCTCGGACTGTGCTGCATGCGCTGCTGGTGAAGACAAATGAGCCGCTCTGAGGTTCCTCGACAGTCCATCAGTGGAACTATCTTAGGGCTGTTTTCCCACAATGCTCCTCTCCTTTAAAATGTGTGTGTGTCAACGAAATGACCTGCGTCTTTCCATAGGGCTAATCAAAGGTGACAACATCAAGCTATAGCTAGTAGAGATAAAGGACGCTCTTGTCCCTTGTGCCTCCCCTCTCTCTGCTTCCTCGTCGACATGGCTGGGCATCCTCTCTTCTGTTACATCCTCTGCTGTCCTGTGCCTGCCCTGGAGCCAGCTGACTGTGAACTGTCAGTGTGAGCCAGAATAAAACTCTCCTTTATGTTGCAATGCTGGATATTTGGTTTCAGGGACAGGAGTCGAGCACTTCCTCTGAGCAGGCTCCTGAAAGTCACTCTCCTCTGGGTAGTTCCATCAGCCTGTCATGTTCCTTCCAGGTTTTAATGCTCTAATATATGGGGTTTGAAGTTAATAACTCATGGTTAGCATAATTTTGAAACATTTTCCAATAATTGTAACCATCACCAGAGTAACATGTGTTTAAATCCATAATTATTCACTCATAATTCTGAAATCTAGAAGTCCAGTAAAATACATTTTTATTATTTATTGCACAAATTAATTTGGTGACAAATCTGAGTTAATGCAAGGTCATTTGTAGCATCAAATACTCTTATAGAGAGTGACTATTCATATCTATTGCTGCAGAAATATTAATATATCTGATTAAGGGAGCTACCCCAGACTCTGCTGTAATGTGTTCAAAACGAATTCTAAAACCTAGAGCTGAGAGATTGGGTTGAGGAATTGAAGACCAGAATTATACTATGAAGCTAGTGTTTTTTCACTTACCTGTCAATTTTAAGCCAAAGGCCTTGCTTGGGTCTAGGGAGAAAACAAAACCCTGAATCCAAGCCTGAAGGGACAACTGCAGCAGCGACCTGGCTTCCTGTGTTCTTTACACATGAAGTGAGTTTTCTGCAAACTTTTATGTGTCCCCATCTGAACACCACTCATGTCTGGCACTGGTATTAAAATAAAGCAGAGCCTGATTACCAACATATTGCTTTATTTCTCGGTGGTAGTAAATTAAGGCTTTCTAGAGTCATACAGCACAAAGTGATCTGAACATTAGAATTAACAAAACAAAACAAAACACCAACAACAATGAGCATTCAATTTAGCAGAGCCAGAAAGGAAGTAATGTTTTAAAACAGATAAGTTTCCTAGAGAAGCATTTTGCTCGGTCTCTAAACATCCGCTGAGCTGTTTCCCCAGCAACCTCTGCCACAGATTCATACCCTAAGAGAGAGCAGAGCAAGGGAGGAGACTGGGAACGGGGGAACCTGGGAATAGGACGTGTGGGCGGGCAATGGGAAAAGTCGGCTTCGTCTAGTGTTTGGAAGACAGCTTGGGTCATGTGGCCAGGTGCTGGGGACAGCAATAGTCACAGTGGCTTAGTGAGCAAAATTTCCTGTTCACTCTGGGAAGAGTAAACAAGCATTCTTGGAATACTTGAACGTCAAAGGTTAGGGACAATCATTCATGACTCTGAAGGTTATAAACTTAGAATAGAGTCACAGGACACAGAGCAAAGTAATACTACCTTCAGCTTTTATGGTTCTGAACTCTGTGGCTATCACAGAATACTGTTCCCAAGCAAACAGTCCACTTTCCTCATGGCACATAGTGCTGAATTGATGATGTTACTTGTACAGGAAGCCACGTTTTCTATGATGTGTGAGAGAAACCTCCTGGTCAGAGGCTACTGCATCATGCTAACTCTTCCTTTCCAACACAAGACAGCAGTACACACACACACGGGAGCCTACAGTGGGAGTGCAGTTGTCAAGAAGTGTGTATGCCTGATCTGAAGCACATTTAGCACGCTTGCTTCGGGTATGCACATGCTCCGAACAGATGTGAACAAGCTGGGTCAGCAGCGATGAAGCAGGGCTGTGGCTGGAGACGAGACTGAGGAAGACCCTCCACTTACTAACAAAGACAATGGCATTTCATGAAAATGAACAGTGGAATTACTTCGGGCTACCTGATTTCCCATACATGAAGCCAACAAATTGGTTTCTACCCCAATGGGATCGTTCTCAACTCCATTCATTTAAAATTCATATTTTGTGGTAATTTAGACATTCTATTCCAAGGGCTTGGTTGGTGGAACAACACGAGTCTTACCAGTGTGTTCCTCCTTCTATCTGACAGTCACTTCGAGGGGAACGGGCTTAAGAACTTGTAGGTCTGCTTCACATTCTCTAGTAGAAAGCGTGCAGACAGCCCGGGGAGACACACAAGGTGGCGATCTGCACAGTGAAACGCTTGCAAATGTAACCCAAGAGGCTTCATGTGATGAAGTCTGGTACATAAAGAAATAAATAGATGTGAAGAGCTAAAACACATCTGAATGACCAAGAGGCACGGCGGCTGTCCTTGCCAGCTGCGGGACAGCTGTGCCTGATGTGTGACACATGCGCACTGCGAGGGTCAGCAAAACCTTGGAGGCTGTGTGTTCTCTCGGGCCGGGCCTGTTAATTGAAAAATTATGAAGGCCATCCTTCCTCCTTGAAAACACTCTTCAGAGGCACCCTGACAGGGGAATTTGGGCTCCAGGACAACGAGCTCGCTGGTGCTCTGTCAGGTCCATGTAGTGCAGCGTGCTGAAAATACCTAGCGCCCAAGCCATGGCACCCAGTAAGGGCCCCTCCCGCCAGCCCTCCAGGCACCCATCCAAGGTGGTGCTCAGGTGGGGCAAAGGGACGCGGAGGACCCTTTGCCACTGGGCTGGCACTACAGAAACTCCAGTGGGCAGAGCCCATTCCCACAATCAATTATCTTGCAAGAGATAGATGCCTATGTTCTCCAGCAGGGTTCTTTTATTTATTGATGTCTCCATCATCAATTATCAAATGATCAGGAATGTACTTCCTCTGCCCTCCCCGGATGGCCTCACACTCAGGGCTGGAAGTAGAAGCCCCAGAGAGGTGACATGCTTTGAGAAAAGGGGCACCACTGTTCAGGGTGAGGCTAGGGAAAGAGCACAGGTCTCTACTTCACCATGCTCTTGACTTCAGGGGCCTTTAGAAAAGATTAGGGAAGCTCTTTTTATATGCAAAGCGCCCGTACAGACCCGACTTCCCTTTCGCTTTGCTGCATGAGGGATTGAGGAGGGGCCTTGGCTGATCCAGCATCTTAAAGAGACGTTCTAGAGAGCGTCATTCTAATACTTTTTGTTGCAGATGCAGGTGGGGTGAAGGAGGTGGGGATATGGCACTTTGGAGGTGCTGTCAGTGTCCAGGAGGGTGCGCGCATGTGTGAAAGGAAGGGGGGCTTAAAGACACCCAATCAGCCTGCTGAGAAGGGAAACTGTTTATAGATGACCAGATCCCGAACCCAGTGGTTTGCTGGAATGGAAGTGTGTCCCTCCCCTTTGGTTGCTGTGACCCCCTCCCCTTTGGTTGCTGTGACTTCTACTGCCCATGAACAAGAAGGAAAAATAAAAGCCAGATTCCTAAGAGCCTTCCTGGAAGAAATAGCAGTTGAGAGTGGGCGTCGATGGTTTAACAGAACATTTTGTCTGGTTCATGTTTGTAAAGTGAAAACCACACTGTCCCCTCAGAAGAAGGCAGGGTTGGTGTGCTCAATGACGCAGCGCTTGCAGTGTCGTTTCACGAACCTCAGCGCCTCCACAGACACTTCGCAGTCCTGCACGTTCAGCATCTGCAGATCAAAGCAGTTGGCAGCTACGACCTGCAAGCCTTGGCCTGTAATGCTTTCGCAAGATTTCAGGCTCAGCCGCTTGAGGTTGAAGCAGTTCAGCGCCAGGCACTCCAGGCCCATGTCAGACACCAAAGGGCACTTGCCAATGTCCAGAGATTTGAGCTTCGCGCAGTTCTTGGCGAGGTACTCCACGCCGTGGTCTGTGATGCCCTCGCAGCCCCTTGCGTTGAGGTAGCGCAGCTTGCTGCAGTACTTGGCAATATAGCGGATGCCCACGTCGGTGACGCGGCCGCAGTGCGCGATGCTGAGGTACCTCAGGCGTGACTCCAGCTTGGCGATCTCCCGCAGGCCGAAGTCGCTGACGAAGCGGCAGTCACTGACGCTCAGCTCCTTGATGGATGTGCAGTAGATGACCAGGTAGCGCAGGCCCTCGTCGGTGAGGCGGACGCAGCGCCGCAGGTACAGGTGCGTGAGCTGCGTACAGTGCGCTGCGATGGTGTGCAGGCCCTCGTCCTCCAGCACGAAGCAGTCCGTCATGTCCAGGTAGCGGATGGAAATCTGTTTGCCATGTAACGGGGACAGTTTAATGGAAGCCTCCCGGGTCAGGCTGATGCAGGTCACTTTGGAGCACCCTACACAAAGAGACAGAACACACACTCAGAGCAGCCTGGGAGAGCCGGGAGGGCCACCGGGATGCCACGGTGGGTGCCTGGTTCTTCCAAGCCTTGCCTGGAGGTCACTCATCTCTCTCTGTTGATTCCTACATAGGGTGGGGGGAGAGGATGAATCGAGGAATGGTCCCCTCTGCTCATTTGGTCCCTCACATTTATGGGCATTCACTGACTTCAGACTCTGAAAGACCAGGTCAGTTCTGGGTCACAGAGACCATGATCAATCCAGATCCATCACAAGGGGCAATCATTCTTTCTACTACCTTTGTCTTCAAAGGGACAGTCACATTCACTGGAAGACAGCCTCAAAGACATAATGCAATAGAAGTTATGTGTCAGCATCCTGCCTTGCCCTAGAATCAGCCAGGAGCTCAGTCAAGGCTTTGCAGTGTGGCAGCTCCGTGCTCCAGGGAGCTCAGCCAGGAGACGCAGAGTGTGCACAGGACCTCGGCTGGGGAGAGAGAGCACTGGGTTCTCTGGGCTCAGGAGTCACCCTTGCATCCCTTCTGCTCCTTACTTACGTGCAGGAGGCTAACGCCTACTTTGCAGAGAGGGAACTGAGCTGGCCATGTCCCACCCAAAGAAGACAAGGAATATGCAGTCTGGTAATGGACATGGGTGTGCTGGCTGCGTGTGGCACGCTGAAAAATTTTGTCTATTAGGGCAGGCCACATAGCTCAGCAGATTACAGTGCCTGCAAGCAGGTGTAGGGGCTGGGGGTTCAATCCGCAGGCCTACCGTGCCGGCCCCGCCCCCAGGGTACACTGAGATGGCAATTGAGACTGGGCATGGTGGCGCGCGCCTGTAATTCTAGCACTTGGGAGGCTGCAAACAGTCAGGTCACTATGAGTCCAATCTAGTAGTGAGACCTGAACACATTGTAGACCCTTCCCTAAAATTAAAAAAAAAAATTTGTCTACTGTGCACTTAGTTTTTTAGTACATGCTTGCAGTATGTAGCGATCACACTTATCATGGGGAGTAGGCACGGGCATACTTAGTTTAGATGTCTTTCACTATATTGACCTGTGAAGTTTACAAAATATTTTCATGAATATTTTACTCTCCAACTCTCAAAACAATCCATTTTCCAGATCAGGATGCCACTGCTCGGGAAGATACCTCGGGATCACTCTCTACACACTGTCTCTAGTCACTTAAAAGTGTGCGTGAGGAAGCTGGGTGCAGGGGCACAGGCTGGCAACCCTCCCGCTCTGGGAGGCTGAAGCAGGAGAAGCGGAACCGGGATTGAACTCAGGCCCTTGCACTTGCCAGGGAAGGGCTTATGCTACTGAGCCATCTCCCGGCCCTGGAGAAGTGTAAGTTGAAGCTCAACTTAGAGACTTGTGAGGCTGTGTCTCCAAAGGCGTGGTGACATAGATGAGTGCAAAGGTTCTGGGTTCAATCCCGCAGTGCCACCAAATGGTCTCACATATCTATATATAAAAAGTATATGATTCATAATCACATGGAGTATGATTCTATACTTATATATTATATGAAACATTTATTATACATTTCAGTTTAGGTACTATTACCTTATAATATATAAAGTATGTGCATAGTATATGAACATAAGCAGTAAACACGTACAGGCCGTACTGTTACATAACCAGCACACGCGTGCACCTCTCGTTTTCCCACATAGACTACCCCTATGCACCCGCGGGCCTTCCCTGTGCTTCTCAAATCCCTCTGGCAGCCGCACAGTCCCCGGGAGCCTTGTTCAGTCCCGCTGTACTTTGGCTGTCCAGTGCAGTGCCCCAGGCTCTGAGCAGTCGCACGACGGCGCTCGTGGGAACTTTCCTCCCACCTCGTGGCCAGCTGCCCAGGAATCTTCTATAAAACACAGGCTCTGGGGGTAAAAGGGCTCAATGTTATGTGCTACCAAGTTACGCATTTCCATAAGGAGTGACACATGCTGACCTACGGACATGTGAGGTGCAACTGGACAGAGGGGGTCGTGCCGCTCGCTCCAGGGGGCTGCGCGGTTCGCTGAGCGCCCATCAGGCCCAGCGACCTCAGCTCTGAGATCTCCCTCTGCCTTCAGTTCTTCCGGACAAACTGTGCTGCTTACACTTCATTTATGTGTCCATCCATGATGCCTGTGACGGTTCACTTTTTTAGGTCTGGCGTTAAATCTATTTCTATACTTTTGATTCTAGGTTCCTTTTAAAAATGTCTAGCAGTCTTTTGAACTCAGTCTTTTGAACTCCAAGGTACCATATTTAGTTCATAAAAACATATGCTGTTTTTAAAAAGTGATTCCAAATTTAATGAAATACTATGTTGTGCAGTTTGGGAAGCTGTTTTGATAGGCTGGTGTCCTTTCAGGTCAATCATTTTAATATTAGGATTAGCCCTAATTCCCAATTTGCTAATTTTTTTTTTTTTAACCAGGGATTAAACTCAGGACTCTGTGCTTGCCAGGCAAGGATTTATTCTACTGAGCTACCTCCCCAGCCCTCAATTTGCTGATTTTGAACTGCACAGAAAATGAATTGATTCACACAGCTCAGTAGGTAATATTTATGGATAGTTCATATATTCCAGACATGGACTGAGCCTAAGAAATCATCCAATTCAGGGCTGGAGGCATAGCTCAGTGGTACAGTTCCCTGACTGGCAAGTGTAAGGTTCCTACTTCAATTCCTGGTATAAAAAAAAAAGGGAGAGAAATCATCCAATTTAATCTTCATTTTCTTTTTAAATGAAGGCTTTGTAAGAGTATGCGACTCTCCCAGACTGAGGACAGTCTCTGTCTTTTTGGTGATGCTGAGGACAGAAACTAGGACCTTTAGGATGCTAAGCTGCCAGAGTTACATCTCCAGCGAGGGTACTTTTTTGACAGGATTATGGTTGGTGTATCGACGTCTCCCCAACGCCTCATCAAGTTTTCGATGGGCCTTTCTGCAAGGAGATGAATCTAGAATGTGTGACTGATTCATGGTTCAGTGCTAAGATTAAGGGTGCTGTGATTCAGGGCGGGTGGCGGTTGGGCCAGTCCACTGATCCCATTGGCACCACCTTCGTCTCTCTTGCTGCTTGTGCTGTCTTCTGCTGCTAGGGTTGCCGCTGTGCCCTGTGCCACCCACCCTGCCTTGAGTGCCAGCCAGTTGTAGACTGAAACCTCTGCACACTTTGAGCTAAGCAAACCCTTCCCCCTTTTACTTTGGGTGTTGGGTGCTTTGTCTCAGCAGTGAGAGAAGAGTAACTAAGACAACAGGTACTGCAAGGCTTCAGCCATCACAGAGGAGTGAGAAGTGGCCGGGATGTGCCTAGAATTGATGGCAGATAGGAGAGATTACCGGGATGCATCAGCCTCCGTGAGGATTCAGACCCAAGGCAATCAGGGGCCTCAGAAGTGGTGGTGCCCAAGGGAATCTAGGAAGACAGAAATAGTTTGGATGTGGACATATGACACTCTGGTGGTGAAATAAAAGACGCAGATGCGAAGACAAGACAGCATGGAGAGTCCACAGGGGAGTACAGAATGGTCTTAAGTAAATTTGGGGTGACTGAGAGGGAAGTGACATGGAGTGAGCTCCTAGGATTGGATCACAAAAGCACACAAATTATTCTACAGGGAATGAGCAACACGAGGAAACCACAGATCCTTCATTTAATCCCAGGCTTCGTCCGACTTCCATGAATTGAAAACTCCTCCTCCTCCTTCTTCTCCTTATGTGGGTAACATCTCCAATTTCGCTGGATCTGTGAAGGCCGAGTCAGCAAGGACCAAGTGCTAACCTGCGGCATGTTAACAAGAAGGAATACGCAGCAGCGATGACAATGGCTGTGACTTGGGCTGCCCGAGTCCCAGCAGTCCACATGTGAGGCCTCAGCACGATTAACTCATTTCGTCTCCCAGCTCCGCTTGTACCGATGAGGAAAGTTTAGCTGCTTCCCCAAAGCTCCTTAGAGTACTAGCCGGGGACTTCTAGTCGCTCAGGGCTGAAGAGGAGCAGGCAGGGCTCTGCCACACCTCTGTGCACTCAATTACAATGACATAAAGCAAAATATAAAAATGCCTCACCTCTGCTATGTACAGCTCAGAACCAGGGGAGAGGAAGCACGCTGGAAAGGCCCAGGTTCTCTACCTGTGGGCTCAGCCATGCTCCACCTGCCCGCACCCTGGAGGCCAGCAGTGGCAAAGCACAGTCACTGTGACCTCCAGGTGAGGCGGGCTTGTCAGACGCAGAAGAGGCTTGATTGGAGGGTCCTCAGGAGGGCGGGGTGGGGAGAGACTGGCATGCACTCCAAAGAGCCACACAGCACCGTGTGCACAGACATGACGGACTTGCAGACATGCAGAGGGAAGGAAAGGTCAAGGGGCCACAGGAAGAGGAAGGAGTGGTGTCTGGGAAGGACAGCTCCCTTGGGGTCTTGCGTGAGCTGACTGAACAACTGGAGATTTGATGTGGGCAAGTGAAGGTTAGATTCATAATTTGAAAACCTTTTTCCTTTGTTTGTGTGGAGGGGTTCTGATGGGTGAAGGCAAGGAGAGGAGAGAGGATGGACTCAGGACCCTGGAACAATGGAATCACCTGGCCAGGAGTGTGCGGGTTGAATATGTAAGGAGAGAGAAGAGGTGACTCCTGTTAGAGAGGACCCACTAGAGGGGATCCATTTGAAGCAATTTTATTTGCAATAATTGCAACATTTCACATTTGGAAAATAGTTTGGTTTTAATACATTCCATTAATTTTTAAAATATCTTTTCTATTTAAGAGAGAATAAAAATACTAAAAAAAAATTAGAAGTGATGCAGAATTTCATTAAAAAAGAGATAGGAATTAAACACTAGCTGTTATATTGCACACTGTTGTCTTCAAATTAGTTAAGATTACCAGGCATAAGTATGCAAAACTGATCAAAAAATTAAAAAGAAAAATTTTAAGCATTAATTATTCCTTTCAACAGAAATTTTCTGCCATTCTGATGGGTTTTCCATGATAGGTGATCCATTTTCTTTTCTCTAGCAGCTTTTAATATTTTTTTCTTTTGCTGAGTTTCTGGGTTCTTGATTATTATGTGTCTGGGTAGGTTTACTTTGGTCTTGGGTAACTGGAGTTCTATATGCCTTACTCGTTCGTATGTCAGATACTTATCTGATGTTCAGAAAACTTTCTGCTACTACTTCTGCAAACCTTGTTATTTTTAAGAGGTCTTTCCTTTTATAATTGCTAGCTGAAATGTTGTTTGCAAGGTCTGAAAGTCTATCTTTGGTTTCATTCAAGTGGTTTTGCCAGTTTTTGGTAGAATTCTTACTTTCCTGAACATCTGTTTGCATCTGTTTCACGCGTTCTAATTCTTTCCTGGCTTTTTATTCAATGTTTCCATCATTTTTTGGTGTTGGTCTATTTTCTAATCTGTTTTCTTTAGATGTGCTACCACTATGATTTCATGATTGCTGTCATTCCTTTTGTTTTACACGAGAGACGACTTGTGATCTGATGACTTCTACAGCCTCATGGAGTTGTTTCTCTACTTCAGTTGCTATCATTTCAGAAATTTCTATGTCTCTGTCTGCTGGAGCTGTTCTCTGAGGGTTGGACTCCTGTGACCACCTTTTGCACCTTCATTTTCCCATTTTCCGAGCTCCCCAAGCTCCCCGGGGCTCAGTGCTGGTCTCTCGATGGTGGTTTGGGCACAGGGCACCGTGTACTGAGGCTCCTGCAGCTCTCTGGGGCTCAGCCTGGCTTCTGCTGTGAGGAGGTGGCAGGGCACGGCTTGTGGAGGCCCCCTCCATTTATGTCTAAAGATGGCAGAGAAAGATCAGGGTAATAACGATAAAATGGCACGGCCACCAGTAGTAACATTCAGTGACTTGCAACGGTAACTTTTCGTGGCTTCAAGCGATGCAATCTTATTATGTACAGTTGTGGAGGTCAGAAGGCCGAGTGAGTCTCACAGGGGACACGAAGACTTCTGCCCTCCCTCCTTCTGACGCTCCTGTTTCTTTCTTTTAAAGATTCCATGGTTCCCCTGGGTCTACTAGATCATCCCATGTAACCTATCCATCACAAGACCCTTAACTTAATCCCACTTACAAAAGTTCCTTTCACCATGTAAGGTGAAATACTTCCAGGTCCAGGATTAGGACATGGACCTCTTCAGCGCATCATTAGTTTGTCTGTCTCAGCTACCAAATACGCTTATGGATGACAGAATGTCAAGCTTTATTTTGTACCACAACGATAACTTTTAGATGGACTGTTTCTTTACTCTTTTGAGTTATCTTACTACTTCCCATCATTTTTTATTTCCTTTTGTTTAATCAAGGAAATGCTTGCTATATGTCAGGCATCATGCTAAGTACTGAGGACAAGGTATATCAAATCTTCTCTACTACTGAAGAGTAAGCAGAATTGGAGGGCGCTGACACAGACCCAGGGATCAAGATGGCAACTCTTGGCGCCTGAGGACAGGTAACTTCCAACCAGGTGCTTTCAGCTTTGTGAAGAAGGGGGAGGTGGCTACAGGTCCTCTAGGAGATTTCAGCTCAGACCAGGGATGAGTATTCCAACATCAAGCCCAAATTCACTTTTGAGAACGCAGTCATTATGGAAGTGTGTGAAAGCAAAGGAACCGGACCACGGGGAGTCCCTGCTGGCCACTCACTGGCTCCTCTCTGATATCTTCATAACCATTTACAAATTCTCCCAGGACTGGAGGGGATTGTAGGAGAGACCAGTGGCGAATCCCACCTCATGGGCTGCTGTCTTCCAAGTTCCCCTGCATAAACACATCTCCCCTACCTACGATTCTGCGTTTCTGCTTCAGTGACTGACAGATCTCTCTCATCTTCTCCTCCATGTCCACAGATCAGTGAGTCCCTTTACACTGAGAAACGTGAAAAGAAGCTGCACGAGGGTCATCAGTTCGGCTATGCAGAAGACAGATAGAGATCAAAAGGGCAAGTAGGGATCACTGAGGCCAGCAGCACAAGAATCTCCGTTTCCAAACACCCAAAGCAGTTTTAGCATTTCTGAATTTCAAAATGACCTCCAGAGAGACAGCATGATAGTCTGCAATCTGAATAAAGAGTGCAGGAAAGCCCATGAGACAACGAGGAGGATTCCAAAATGAATCATTTCGAAACTGGAAAATAAATGAGACGCTTAGAAAATGCTCAAATGGAATGTTAAAGAACCCTACACTTCATATTTTTTTTTTAATTATAGAGAAACACTTATGTAGAGAGAGCTGTGAGTGGTCCAAAGCCACGGAGTTTTGTAGCTAGTTTCCACCACATAACAATGCTTCTTGCTCCAGAATTCCTTGGGGGAAGAAATGTGCGAAAACCTCGCTGTGTCCTGCTTCCTCATGCCATGGCTGCTCCTAAGTGGACACCCAGCTACCATGGTGTTGTCCTAAAGCCAGCTAAAGGAGAGAAGCAGCAGGCTGCTTTCTAGCCAGGAAAGAATCTGCAAGTAATAATGGACCGTCATCTGAAATATTTTCAGATGTCAGCTTTCAAAAGAGAGAGCAAGCTAAGAGCTGGATTTACCTCAGCGTTTGTGGGAGGGCGTCGTTTACCTCAGATGCACGTAACTCTCAAATTCTGCTTTCAACCCTTGCCCTTCCCCCAACAGCCCCTGAGGCTGCGGTTCATGCTGCCCGCTCCTGAGCTCTCTGGGGTCTCTCTCTCGTATCAGTCTTGCCAGTGCTCATCTTTATGTTCGCAGTGGGTGTGGTAAGGAGAGGCCGTCTGTCAGAGCTGGCCCCGATCGGGTGCCAGAGTCTGACTCTGCCCTTTAATTCTTCCTGCCTGTGAGAGGCTTCCAAGCGAAGCAACCATGTTGGGATTTCCTTCCACTTCTAGAAGGCCTGAAGGTCTGATTTAATACTCCTTATCCTTGTACTACGGAAGTGATAATTCTGTCTAAGAAATATTCCAGAATTAACCAGTAGGTGGGGGAGAGGGGCTGAAGTACAAGGAGCCTTTCCTGTGGCAGCTCTCCCCAGCAAGTCATCCCGGACACACTCAGGACTGGGTGACTTGTGGCCTGCAAGGGACATGCTCAGGTGCACGGCAATGGAACAAACAGCCAGGGTCACTGCCATGACTGGGCTGCGGCAATAGAACTCTGTGAAGCAGTAACGACTGGCAAAGGGCAGCCGATCAACTACATTGGAAGTAGCCATTTGCTTCCTGTTATCCAGCTAGATATCTGGTCTCCAGCATCTGTGGCTTCTCCGAAACAACTGTGAGTATGACAGAGCGTTGGGATCCGTTTAAGTCATGCTCAGCTGGACCGCCAGGTGCCAGTTGCCAGGTTAACTCCTAAGAAGCCAATATTATTTGGGGAAAGGGACAGCGCTGGCCTCCAGGGTCCTGGTTACTGAAGAGAGTTTCTCTCAGAATGCGGGCCTCCTGCCCCCGCCCCACCTCTAGAGTCACCGAGAAGGGGACCCCGAGGAGCGGCACAGAGGCCAGCGTCTGTTTACCTGACACGTCCAGGTGCTCCAGGTTGGGGCAGAGGGACACCACGTCGAAGACGGCCTCGTTGGAGATGCTGAAGCAGCCCGACACCTCCAGGCGCCGCAGCTCGGGGCAGCACTGCGCGATGGCGTAGAGCCCGCGGTCGGTGAGCCGCCGGCAGCCGCTGACCACCACGGTCTCCAGCATGAGGCAGACGTTGGGGGTGTCCTGGCAGAGCCTGCGGGTCAGCACCCTGAGGGCGCGGTCCACGTGCACCGTCTCGCCCGTCAGGCGGATCGTCCTCCAGAGGCGCGGGTCCCACGCCAGGTTGTACCAGCGGCGGCACACGCGTGCGCAGCGGCACAGCTGGTTGGTGGGCAGGAAGGAGAAGACGCGCACCAGCGCGTGGTCGGGGAGCCGGTCCACGCTGGCCTGCTCCTTCGGGGGCCTGGAGGCCAGCCGGATGAGCGGGTGCGTGAGGCGCGTTGGGGGCGGGGAGTGGACCATGGCCACCGTCTCCCCGGTGACCGAGGAGGACGAGGTGGACGAGCCCCTCCCATTCTGGAATCCGGACAGCGCGGGCGGGCATATCAAGGCGGGGCTGGGCGTGCTCAGCGTGCGCATGCTCAGGTCGGAGTCTGCAAAGGACAGAGCAGAGGGTTAGGCTGCGGGCCTCGGCAGCGGCCTGGGAAGGAAGAAAGCCTGGCCGCTGCTCCTTGGCAGCCTGTGCATCGCCAGTGACACGCCAGGCGCACCCACCTGGGACGCCCCCGGGGACCTGCACCCCTGGGGCGCAGGGCGCCCTTTGAGACTTACAGGCCCCGCAGGCTCCGTCAGCGCCGCAGGAACTCGGCCCTGCCTGCCGGAGCCGTGCTCGGGGGGCCAGAATGGACGGGAGAGGCTGCTGCAGCAACACTTCTGTCAGCGCACACCAGCTGGACGAGCCCGGGGACCACGGCCCTAGGACCGGCGCTCGCCGGCCCGCATCCCCACTAAACGAGGTCATCTCCGCAGGCTTTGCGGTTCCGCTTCTCTTCTGCAGAGAAACCTCGTATGCTAGGTACGTAAGCCAAGTCGCTTTCGGAGCCGTGTGTTGGCTAGGTAGGGGGCTAACTACGCGGCACTTGCAAGGAAACAACCGTGTCCGGAGGCCAGGGGACAGCATCGCTGCGGGCGCCCTCACCCCCTGGCACTCAGACCCTCCTCTGACAGCTGTTCCGAGTGGGCCGCGAGAGGCACTCGTGGCTCCCGAGCCAGGATCTAAGAGGACAAAGGCCGCCTCGAGTACCTGGCGAAACTACACCAAAAAGGGCATACAAATGAAGGACCGTTTTGCATCTGTGTATACAAAATAGTTAGGATAGATAGACAGCTACTTTCTCTTAATTCAATGAGAAGAAAGATCTGTACTAATAGTGTTTGGACAGGATATCATGCCTGCATCTTGTACTATGAATAACCACTATGAAGACAACAATATGCAATGTATTCATTATTGTAACTGTCCTACTAACCTGTTTTGAAACTGTCTCATTGCTATTTGTTTCTCAATAAAATTTTAAAAAGCAAAACAAAACACTGGCTTGCTTTCTTATGGACAGTCTCCCTTCACATTTGAGTAACGCGAGTCACACGCTGTTACCCGAAGCAAGAGAGACCACTTGATGAGGACACAAGTGGTTTTAGGGCTGGGAACTAGGAATTCATTGAACGCCTCTGGACGCAGCTGCTCGTTTTCTACTTCTCTCTCAATATGCGTAAGAAGAATTCTGTCTCTGTGTGTGCACGTACGTATGGTGTGTTGTATCTATTCAGAAGCTTGCTTAGGAGAACATTTATTTTGTCTCTCTATACAATGTCATATGACTATATTTACAAAATCTATATTGCACACCTGTATATAGACACACACACACACACACACACACACACACGTGTGTGAGAGAATAAAGAAAAAGAGAGAATTTATTCCCAAACACAATTTTCTTCACCTATAATGTAGGTGATTGGGCTAGCTGACTTCTTTAAAAATTTTTTCTTTTAAAAAAGATAATAAAAAAAGAAAAACACTGGAAACAACACAGAATGTCAAAGATCAAGACGAGGGGAATTCAATAATGGCTGCAGTTTTACATATTGTTATCTTCAGCTTGCCAGATAGAGGCATGTAAAATGGGTCCAAAAGATTAAACAGTAGCTATTCCTTTCAATTAACCAGCAGATTTTGAAGTCATTTCCAGCTGCCATTAGAGGTTTGACTTAGCAACATGCTCTTCTGTGTTTTTCCATATTTTGTATGTTGGAAATTAATATTCATACCTTGTCTTTCCCGAGAACTTCCAGCAGAGCGCAGAGGAGTTTTGGACCCCGGCACACCTGCTCTGTGTATCTGTTGGGCGCTTTCATTCAGGTCTACTTGTCCTATTACTGTACCTTTCATTTCTTCATAGCTGGCCACTTCATGTGCTCACGAAGCTTCTGTGAGTCACGCCCCCTTCACGTTTGTCTCTTGGAACACAGACACCTGCTGTGTCCAATTATAAATGCCGCCTCCTTTAAGACCACATTCCTGGGGTCTGCGAGATGTGATTCACTCATCTGAGAAATTCCCATCCTTCGTTACCTAAGCATCCGTGAATTTATCTTTGCCTAATATGCTCACTGCACTACTCTCCTCAAGTTTGCAGCCCTCCCCACATGCTCATCTTTTTTTGTTTAAGTCTTTTTAGAAAGTCACCACCTAGCTGTTCAGTTCGGGCTGGTTATATCACACTTGTGCTGGCCAGTGAATGATGGAGGAAAGCCAGCTGTGCCTTGGGCGTGGCCTCCAGCTCTTCTACCACAGCCATCAGAGATGACCCCTGGCCAGTTCTGTTAACAGGACCAGGGAAAACCCAGGAGCAGCAGACCTACCCAACCTGCAGCTGAGAGAGGCACAGCAGCTGGCGTAAACCCAGCCTAGACACGTGAGCGAGAACAACTCGCGAGCCCCTGAGCATATGCCGCGGTGTTACTCTGGCAACAGACGATGCCTACGTCTTCTATCACGCTGAACGCTTGTCTGAGACGCAGGTCAGCGTTTTTCTAGTCTTGCAGCCCTTGTGGTTGATAGCATGTAACTGATGCCTGACAAATGAAGTGAATGGAAGATTTCCAACTTTTGTATTGAAAAACAGTGCAACTTGGCTTGCATCTTTTTATCCCAGGTGGTTTAAATATTGTATTTTAAATAATTTATAAAAATGCATATTCCTCTTGTGTAATCAGTGACAACAAATAATAGATCTTGAAGGAAAGTCTTAAATGTAAAGCAATTAAGGATATCAAAATTGTCATCCAAGCAGCCGTACCAAGTTGCAACATTCTGCAGCTCCTCAGAGCATTGCCTGTGTTTTTCGTAGGCAAGGGAACAACTTACTTTGGGCTAGGAGGAAAGGCAACCTTGGGCTCTGCACTGTGGCGCCGCGGCAGGCTTGGGCAGACATTTCTCTCCTGCCTGCCCCGGTCCCATTCTTGGAGAGAAGACACCCAGCAGCACCCCAAGAGGCCTGCACAGAGCTGGGCCCCTGGGGAGCAAACTACCCCCACCTGCACGTGCGCGTGGCTGCAGGAGCTTTGCAGCCCGCGCCTCTGCGTGCTCACAGTCCTTCCCTCTCGCTTGCCCCCGCATGGGGGCGCAGCTGAGCACGGCTGTGCTCCTCTTAATCACTTTAGTGTTTTTCTCTCTTTTCTTAAGTTGTCAATAATCACGAGTGTGGAAGGCACCCACACTCAGGAGCACGGCAGCCTCCCACTCCCCCACCCCAAGCCTTCCCGCTCGTCCACCCAGAGCCCAGCAGCAGGACGCTCAGCACGATTCCCAGCACGCTGTCCTCTGCTGACAAAGTAGGGAGCCAGGAAGGCTTCTGCCAAGCAAGCTGCACGTCTCGTATCAGAACACACAGCGCCATTTGTTGGTTTCTTCATGCTTTTTCTACATGTCAAGAACTCTCAGAAAATTTTGGAAAGGTTACAGCTATTATAATACAATAAATACCAACTGAAAATTAAAAAAAAAATAATAAAGAGATGAACACCAACCTGAGCTACGCATGTCTAGAAGTTGTCACACAATATTTTTCTTGGTATTTTCCACAAAGATAAAATTTATTTACAAACAAATATCACATGTGCACAGGCTTTTAGACTTAGAATTACATTATTATAAATAATAAAATATGCATGGCATGTCACACAGTGTACCAAAAAGCCATTTTCTGTCACTAAAAAAATATAATTCATGAAAGCAGAAGATTTTCCTTTAGAACAAGGAGGAACACCAGAATGTATTTATGTCTTAGGAAAACAGAACACGGCTTCAAGTCCTCGTGAGCCCCAGCTGTACACCTGACGCGTACACTTCCTCTGCGCCAAGAAGACCAGGTCTGCTCTTCGTCCGCCGACTCTTCTCCCCTTGCCCCTTCTGAGGCCTGTCCGCTGGATGAGTGTCGGCATGGGCTGCTGATTCTGCTAACAGGTTAGAAACAAGGACTCCAACGTCCACATACGCCGACACACACCCAGAGAGCTGAGTGCTGAAGTCGACGGACGCAGGAGAAAGCTCCGCATTGCCTTCTGGTCTTAAATCCTTTAGTACACTCGAGCAGCAGAGATAGCGCTGTGTTTGAACTTGAAGTATTTTGTAGGCAAGAGAGGAACTTTAGATGTGAATATCTTTTCCTTGTGAATTTCTACCTGTTTGAGGCTCAGACCAAGGTCTCAGTGTCTCAGCAGAACAGGACCGTGCGCAGAGCTAAGCACAGCTTAACAACGACTCAGAGAGGACGGCAGCTGCGTTTAACACATTGTATACTTCTGTGTATATTTGTGTAAAAATTAGCCATTGTGATCTATCCTTTCTTATTTTTCCCCTCAGCAAGATGAAGTGATTTGTAAATAATGTATGGAAGAATTCCATGTTGAAAATTTTCTTTGAAAGGGAAAATGGGATTTACAAAAAATGACTAATAAAACATAAGTGACCAGAAGCTTCTATCAGAAACAACCAAATCAGTTGCTGCCCATATCAAATATCTATTTTATTTTATTGATCCTGGGAATTGAACTCAGAACCTTGTACTTGCCAGGCAGTGCTTAAAAAGGCTCTTGATTATTTTATTTGAAGAAAGGATGCTGCCTGAGGTAGGGAGTCATTGATCTCTCAGTGGTCCATGGGAGAAACAGCAGGGAACTCAGAAAAGGAACACAAGAGACAATAGCTGAAGTCACAGGGAGAGCAAAGCACCCGAGGAACAACAGTAGTGGCGTTTATTTGCACCTTTGCAAAGTTAGTATAATGAGACATAAGGTTGCCAAGTGACTAATAGCAGACAGTGACCAGGAAGGACGCTTTTCCCAAGACTGAGGTAGCCTGACTGCATTATACACTGTGGCCTTGTCCTGCCCTCGCACATGTGACAATTTCCAGCTTTGGCCCCTCCCAACAGCCTGGAGGGTCAGCAGCAGGCATGCCCAAACTCTTAAGATGTAGCATACTTACATATTAAAAATCTCCAGAGTGTACATAGAGAAGAGGCTTTCTAAAATCCATCAAAGGGGCCAGGTAGATAGCTTAGTGGCATAAGCACCTGTCTGGCAA